CTCTGAATGTCAACGTGAAGAAATTCAAGCAAGCGCGGGTAAACGGCGGGAGTAACTATGACTCTCCGAGGTGGATCCTTGGCGCCGTGGTGCGCGCGTTAAACGATAATACCGATCGCTGAGGTCCTGATAGCCTCTTAACGGGGCGCAGCGGGGTCGCCTGCTCGCGTCCCGGCCCTAACGGGAGGAGATAGTGTGTGCTCCTCTCTCAACGGAGCAAAGTGTGGTGGTTGGGAAACCGCCAGCCATTTTTCAGCCACTTCAATACACGATCTCTGTTGAGTTAGTAAATGGGGTTTGTGTGCCTGGGTGACCCTTTCCAGACACGCAGACTCAACTCCTACCCGAGGCCTGCACGTGGCACCGCCGCTTATAACTGACACGGGAGGGGGGGACGTGCCTAAATTAGTATGCCCCGGAGATGGCTGTTGCGGGGTGACCGCCTCGTTGGCACATTCCTAATTCTGCGAGGCCCAGCGCGTTTCCACTATAGTCTCCCGTTCGGCTGTCTCTTCGCGGCTTTCAGTCGTGTTGTTGGCAGTCGGACGGGAGACTTTAGTCAGGCTTGTGAACCGGGTTTGCTAGATTCGTCTAGTATGCGCAGCGTCCTAGATCATGGGGCGTAATCCGGGCTAGGTTCGGGTGAGATTCCTGAATAGTCCCATCGGGTGGCAATATGTCGCCAAGTCGAACCGCTGACTTCGGTCGGGACAATACGAGATGCGGTAGGCGAACCAGGTGGCTGGGCTTGCACCCCGGCCACATTGGGCACAAACACAAGCAATGGACAAAGTAAGGAATGAAAATGATTTATTTTGCCACCCTGGCCTCCCACAGGAGCCGGGGAGCTTGGCCCAATCTTCGGCCGCTCAAGCTGGGGCTCCGGCCACAGTTTCCGCGGTCATTGACTGGACTTGTCCGGTGTGTGGACGTGCGTTCACCACCAAAACGGGGTTGGGGGTCCACAAGCGTAGGGCCCACCCCGAAGTAGCAAATGCGGAGGCCGCTCCAAATATGGTGAAGCGCAGGTGGCGCGATGAGGAGCTGGCATTGATGGCGCGTACAGAGGCGCGATTACTGGAGGAGACCGGACGATGTACGAACGCAGACCTGTACAAAAGCCTGTCGGGGTCCGAGCGGACCCTAGAGGCAATCAAAGGAAAGAGGCGCTGTGGGGAGTATAAGATCCTGGTACAAGCGTGCCGGGAAGAATACAGATCCCCACCAATAAGCAGCCAAGCGCCAGAGAACAGGGGTTCGACACGGCCGGAATCTGAAAGTGTCGAGATGCCGGTCCAGCCTCTGCCAGCTGAAGACGCACCGCCTGTCGCCGATGATCCATCACCGCACTTAGGTGGTGCCCCAGATAACACGTGTGCAGACCAAATTGTCGCGGATCTTCTAGCGAGGGCCGCGGTGAGGAGGTCGCGACACGGCCTGGGTTCCCGTAGTGCGAGGCGGCACCGCATACCGAACGTGACTCGGGCCGACACCGCACTGGCCGGTTTGTCGAGCCGCAAGAGGAGGAGAATAGAGTACGCCAGGGTACAGGAACTATTCCAGAAGTGTCGCAGTCGAGCAGCAGCCGAGGTGATCGATGGAGTGCACAGGAGCGTCCGGCACTCTCTCGAAGATTTGGAAGCCTATTGGCGACCGGTCCTAGAGAGGGTGTCTGATGCCTCAGGGCCTACACCGTCTGCTCTAAACGCCTTACGGCGGGAGGAGCAGTATGGGGGCGCACGCGATTACTCTCGGCTGTGGATGCCTTTCACGACCGACGAAGTGAAGGCGTCCAAGTTTGACTGGCAGACAGCGCCTGGTCCGGACGGTATCCGTCCGGATGAGTGGCGCCTAGTTCCTGCGGCCCGAAAAGCGGAAATTTTCAACTCTTGGTTGACCACTGGCGTAATACCAGAGCCCCTGCGGCAATGCCGGACAGTCTTCGTGCCGAAGATGGATGATCCTGCTGGGCCGGGCGACTATCGACCGATCTCGATCGCCTCGATACCGCTTAGGCACATGCACTCGATCCTGGCGAGAAGGCTTCTGGATTGCTGCCCCCCCGATGCACGACAGCGTGGATTCGTCCGCGCCGACGGCACGTTGGAGAATTCCGCCGTGCTGGACGCGGTGCTAGGGGATAGCAGGAAAAAGTTAAGAGAGTGTCATGTGGCTATTCTCGATTTCGCGAAGGCGTTCGACACAGTGTCTCATAGAGCGCTGGTCGGGCTTCTTCGGGCTCGAGGGTTGCCCGTGGCATTCTGTGATTACATCCACCGGCTGTACGACGCGGCGACCACCAAGTTGGACGTCGGCGGGCAGTCGGGTGAACCTGTTAGATTGGGCCGAGGTGTGCGTCAGGGAGACCCGTTGTCGCCCATCCTGTTCAACATGGCGATGGACGTAATTCTTGCTGCTCTACCGAAAGAGGTAGGCTATAGGCTAGAGATGGAGCGAGTCTCGGCTCTAGCCTATGCCGATGACCTAGTCCTGCTTGCAG